TTGTGGCGCCAAGCTTCTCTTTCTGTCTGTCTATTTATAATACTACTTATGTCTCTATCTCTAGTTAGAGACAGATAAGATAAATAATTTCTATCTTGAAAAATTATGAATCCCCTCAATGAAAAACGGTACTTCGTCAAAAATATTAAATAGCTTACTTTACCTGACCACTTATCAATTTATAAAATTATTTCATTTGATAAGAATCGTATCGTCTGCAACCATCGGCCGCTATAAGAAGTTTATTGTTTTTTTTTTATTTCCCCTCGGCCAGTCTATGGTAATGAGTGTTACTGTTACTCGTCAAACAGCAAACATCGCATCCTGTCCTTTGTAGGTAATTTAAATTAAAAAAAGGAAACCAGGTTAAACTCTTAAAACTGAGCAGAAGTATGCTATTGTCCTTGAGAGGTGACCTAAATGGCAGCTTCTGGTGACTATTTGATTACGCTTGCTTTTTAGCTCTCAAAATAGAATTTAAATATTCTATAATAATAAATAAGTTACAATATATTTCTAGAATAAATTTACAATATAACTCTACAAACTGGGCGCGGTAGACACCTGAAGCAGTTCGAGAACAGAATGGCCGGAATGTTGTGACAATAACGACAAAAACGAAGCTTTCTTTAAAATGCTATTCAGGTGATCATGTGCTTTATTCCTTTTCCTCATGACCTGAGAATAGGTGTGTGGCCGAGTGGTTAAAAGCGGTACTGTTCAGACTATGAGTTCCGATTTGTTAGGAAACTTTGGTATCAGTCTGTGGAGACCGAAACATTGTGAATGAATATGGGCTAGAGATGAAAACGTGCGGAAGTTGTTGATGGTTGTGTTAATACGATGTCACAAGTCAAGGTTTGAGCGTATTGACCTTTTGTTCAACTATTAATCATGCCAAACAGTGTGCACCCCCCACCCGAAACTATAACTTAGGCCCGCTAAGCATTGTTGCTGTATAATCCAGGGGCTGGTTATGTGGGTGTTGAAAAAAACACGAAAGAGCCTGGGTATATGTCGGCAATAGGGACAGACTATTGGCCTCGGAAACCATATATGAAATGCCATGACAGGATGGTGAAGTGTTTTTTCGTTGCACAGGTTTCTCCTAAACCGACTGCCACCCAAGACTAGAGAGCTCAATCTACTCTGTTATTTATTTTAGCTGGGGAAAGAAGAGAGGGATTCACGCCTTTCTAAATGCAAACTAGTCTAAAAAGTTTTTTGAAATCCCGAGAATTCTTCAGAAACTCTCTCTCTCTCTCTCTCTCTCTCTCTCTCTCTCTCTCTCTCTCTATCTATCTATCTATCTATCTATCTATATATATATATATATATATATATATATATGGGTACCTCCAGTTTTTTCGGCAAAATTTTCGATACCTAACTTTAAAATAAATTTTAAAAAATGAAAAAACATGCTTGAAGATTTAATTTCAGCTTTAATTGAAAGTTCAATCATTAAATTTATTATTTCCATTAAGGAAACAATTCTGGTGTATTTCAGATAGAAACTATATACATTGGAATGTCAAATTTAATTTTGGAATTTTAAATTTTCTTAATTCCCGCCATTTTCTTAATTTTAAGAAATTTGTAAACAAACACAAATTTATCGATTTTACAAAATATTTTAAAAAGTTTCTGACACGTTATTTTAGTAAAATTAGAAAATCTAATGTTAAATTAATCTGATTTAAAAGAAATATTACTTACTTCTAGCATAAAAAAGTAATATACAACCAATTATTAACGATTGGTACTGTTATTTTTATCCAATACTTGATCTACGTGTTGATTGACGAGTGATGACAGCTACTACGGATGACCATAAATAAAAATTATTAGAAATCTGTGTGAACGCTTTTTTTTTAGTTTTACTGAAAGGGACAAAACTCTTTTTATAATAATGGCAAATTCAGTCTACTGTACATGGAAATACGGAACGTATATATTGTTCGTGCTGTTGTCCTCATCTTTTTGTTTTTGATATATTCATGACGTTTCGGCGGTTGTATGCTCCAGCCTTCTTCAGGTGATATTAGTTCGAATCTACCCCTGTGGACTTAATAAAGGGTTCGGTTCAAAATTCCAACTAATAGGACAACCTCATCTTAGAAATATAGACACACACACACATACACACACATACACATATACACGCACACATAACAGCTGGCCACTCGTATTCGAGCATACCCGTTTACTAGGGCAGCTAGCCAATCCCTATTGTAGACGCTCGCTTAGGGACGTTTTGTGTTTGCTCAAAACCCACAGAGCCCACCTGTGGTTTATACTGCAACTATGCTGAGCAGACCTTAGTTACAGTTTCTGGGAGAGAGCCTTTTATCTTTCACGATCGTTTTTCTCCACTTCGGCCGTGTGTCACAATTTTGTAAAATTACAAAATAAATGCTTTGTATGCGTAGTATCGTACGCAAATTAGATAGACAAGTATAAATAGAGAACAACTGGCGAACATAGGGTAGCTATGCCTAGCAAACCCGGTTTCTATTCAGGACATGGAGAACTGTACTACGACTACTACTAGGCAGAGAGATATGCAAAGCATAACAATGGTGTCGCCGATGGGATCGTTAAACATGGATAAGAAACATGGATAAGAACTTTTGCTGGATTTGCAAGAATGAAAAAAAATAAAAGACACAAAGACCGACAGAGGAGAGAACGAGATAACAGATTTATTTCTTGCTACCGCTGAGTGCGAAGCTGTGAAGAAAATGTCGACAATATGTTACCCGAGCGAATTAGAAGAAATGACATTTGAAGAAATTATTAAAATTATAATAAAGAACATAAAACCAAAGGAAAGATTTGGTCATTGCCGAAAGAACCAAGTATTTAGAGACTCGACAAGGACCCAATGAGTCCGTTATACAATACCTATATAAGTTGAAAGGACGAACCAAGTATTGTGAATTTGAAAAATTGGGAGCTCGAGAAATGACTACAGAAGATGAATTAATCCTTCTCAAAATAATTGAAGAACTGCAAGACCAAAACCACAAACGAAAAATACTAGAATGTCTACAGAGTAGTAGCATGAGTTTTGAAGCTAGCATCGAGCTTTTACAACAATTAGAGTTGGTTAGAGAATTTAATCTACCAAAAGAAGAATTTGAGAGTAGAGGACGAGCAGGACTAAATCCCTAATTAAATGTAGATCTTGTGGAAAAAATCACGAGAGAGACAAGTACAAATATCCACCTCTAGGGAAAATATGCTCAAATTGCAAAAAAAGAGATAATTTTCAGAGCGTATGCAAATACGAAAAGAAAATAGAAAGAGTACAAACGGTACAAACTCACTCCGAAGAAGAAGCGGAAATATTTACAATGAATACACAAAAAAGAAGTAGAGAAAAAAAATAAGGATAAATGGCCAAATATTTAACATGCAAGTTGATACAGGCAGTGAAGTCACGTTGATACAAAAAAGATTCTAGATAAATTTAGGGCGACCTAAATTTAAAAAAAGCAGCATCCAATTAAAGCAATTTGATGGAACGATTATGAAAATAATGGATATATTTCAAGGCAATATTGAAACCGACAAGCGTTTTGAAAGAATTCCATTACAGTTGTAGAATGCGAAAAAGATCACGGATTACTAGGAATTGATGTATTAAAAGTAGATACAGCAAGAGTAATCAATTCCATAGAAGCAGAAGAAAATGAAATAGGATTTTTGAAAGACTAAAAAGCAAGAATTCAACTAAAAGAAAATTATCACCCAAAATATATAGTCAAGAAAAGTTCCAATTTATATCCTACCTTTAGTAGTAGCCAAACTAAACAAAATAATACAACAATGCATACTAGAAAGAGTAACTGAAGGTGGTAGCAATTGGGCGTCACCGATAGTAGCGATAAAGAAACCTGATGGAGATTTAAGGATATGTGGTGATTACAAGATAGGGGTTAATCACCAGATATGTTCAGTCTCTTTTCCTTTGCCAAATATCGAAACTGCGAGCCACGAGTTAGCAAAAATGGAACACTTTGCAAAAATTGATTTCAAGGCATCATACAACCAAGGAAATCACCACGATAAACACCCCTATAGGCTTACTAAGATGGACTCGTATACCATTTGGGGTAAAGACTTCGAGCCATATTTTTCAAAAAACAATTGAAAGAGTCTTATTAGGAAAAATAAAAATATAATAATATACCAGGACAATATATGTGTAGGGGCAAGAACTAAAGAAGAATTCAAATATAAAACAAAGCAAATTTTAGTGAGATTAGGCAGGCATGACTGTAAACAAAGACAATTTTGAGTGTAAGAAGATATCATATTTAGGATATCAAACATCAAAAGAAGGCATATCACCTGACAATAGACTAACAAAGAAAATAACAGAAATAGCTGCTCCAACAAATAAAAAAGAATTAAAATCCTTTTGGGGACTAATAAAATTTTAAAGTAAATACATACCAAGATGCCGCGATATAATAGAGCAATTTGCAAAATTACGCAAAAAAACAAACAAACAATGAATTTAAATGCACACAAAAACAAACTATCGCTTTTGAAACACTAAAGAACATAATGAAGAACAAACCAATAAGAAAAGTTTTTGATCCACAAAAAGAAGTAACGTTAACCACAGACTCGAGTGAAAAGGCGATTGCTGCTATTCTATCATAAGAAGAACATCCAATCATGTATATACCAAGAAAGTTAACATCAGCAGAAACTAACTGCTTGAATATTGAAAAAGAAGGACTAGCGATTGTATGGAGCATGGAAAGGGTACGAAACATTTTGATAGGAAAAAAATCTTATTAAAGTCGGACTATAAACCATTAGAATTCATATTTAATCCGAGAAAAGTATTGTCAAACGTCACATCGTCCAGGATTTTAAGATGGTCAATAAAAATCATGATATTCGATTTTGACATAGTAAAAGGGAGTACTATCTCTCACGTGGACGCTTTATCAAGATTACAGTTCAAGAATGAAACAAGAAAAACAGGAAAATGCTGAAGATAAAATAATACACTGGGTAGAAACGGACGTTCTTCCTCTAAATAGACTCAAAATAGAAACAAAGCAAGACCCAATGTTAAGCAGAATAGTAGAGAGAATAAAAAAATAATATATGGAGCAATTGTTCGATGGCAGAGCAACCCTTTAAAGAATCGAAGCACAAACTAACCATAGAAAATGGTATAATATGCAATGGGGATAAAATAGTAGCTCCAAAAATACTGAGAAGGGACATATTAAAAGGAGTACATGATGACGTGCATTGTGGCATAAGAGCAACACAAAAAAGACTAAAGTTTCAAGCCTGTTGGCCAGGATATTCAAATGATATAGAGGAATACATTAATAGATGTGCAGAAATAGAAAAAAAACTTCAAGCAAGCAAAAATTCACTCATGGCCCAAGGAAGCAGAGCCATTGGTTAGGGTGCACATAGATCACGCACATATCAAAGATAAGGGATTGTTCTTAGTATTAGTGGACATATATTAAGGATGGCCAGGGGTTGTCAGAGTAAAAGACAGGAAAGCCACCACAATAAAGCAAGTGCTAAGAACTATATTCTCAAAGAATGGAGTACTCCAGAAAATAGTCACCCACAATGCACCCAAATTTTGCGATGGTAACTTATGTGTGTGGTTAAAACAGTTTGGATGAATCCCGTACACGACACCACCATATCACCCATAATCTAATGGCATTGCGAAAAGAATGGTACAAACGGTAAAAATGAGATTAAAAAGCATTCTCACCACTTAATGAAAGCATAGAAGCGTATCTACCAATAATGCTCCTCAGTTACTGATCCATTCAACATGTAGAAAGAAAACTGAGCCCTTTGGCATTAATGGGAAGACAAATCAGAGCCCCCATAACTATGTGCTTTGCAACGAAAGAAAAGGTATGGTATAGATAGAATACTTTCAATGAATGATTGAAAATACTTTCACTGAATGATTCAATGAATTGAATTGCAAGAATACTTTCAAAGAATGATCCAGAAGAATCAAATTACCTGGTACAAAAAGGCTATACTTGAAAGAAAAAAAGGACAACATATGCTGGCACATAGAGATCAGTTCAGAAGCAGAAATAATGGTGTAGAAATGGAAGATCAAGAACAAGAAGAGACAGAACGTTACAAAAATGGAACAGAACAGGTAATGGAGAAAAGTGAGAATGAAAGGACGGACAAGAGTGAAGAAGAAAATGAAGAGAAACCGAGATCACCATTAAAGGGAAAACCGGAAGAAGGACAACACAGTCCGAAAATAATCAGGAATAGTAAAAAAAAAAAAAAAAATAAAAAAAACAAGGGTATACGACCTTTCAGATTCAGGGAGGTGTAGTATCGTATGCAAATTAGATAGACAAGTTAGATAGACAAATTAGATAGACAAGTGTAAATAGAGAACAACTGGCGAACACGGGGTGGCTGTGCTTAGCAAACTGAGAACTGTACTACGACTAGCTACTATGAAGAAAGATATGCAAAATGTAACTATTGCATACGTGTTAGGGAAGCAAGGGAAATAGAAATTAAAACAAATGTGTTCAAAAAACAGTTAACACGTCGACAGGCCAAAATCTAACTTCGAACGCCAACTTAGGCAATAAAAATTTTTGATGAGTTGATTTATAGCTTCGATTGATGTCTTAACATTTGTTTTTATACCAAAAGTATCACTGCGAATAAACTCGTAGTCGTCGTCGTAATAAAAACTGCGTTGTTTACTGAACTGCCAGCGACGAGATAACTCAAGATTGGCAATTCAGAGAACAACTCCTGGTCTTCCTTTGAAGACATCCACGAATAATAAAAAAAGTGATGCAAAAACTAAATAAATAAAGGAGGGGGAATTAATTGATGATTAAACCAACTTTGTTAATCTCTATTGCCATATGTTTGGGGCTTATCGCTTATATTTGACAAGATTTCACCCTGTGTCTCCTCTTTCATAATACTTCTATCTGCTCCCATCTTCCTGTTACTTAACAAAACTTGAATTCAACACGTACGATCGTTCCAGATATTTCCTTGTTTTTAGTACCACATAAACAGTCTCGAACATTATATATATATATATATATATATATATATATATATATATATATATATATATATATATATATATATTTATGCAACAATTTTAAGCAATTTTTCTTTGAAAGTAAAAAGTAAATCAATCCTGTTGACACATGTTCAAAGGTATTAAAATACTCATTTGAGAACTATATAATAATTATCTCGGTTACTTCTTCTCCTGTATCTGACACAAACTTCTCTCCCTCTCTTTCTTTCTCTCTCTCTCTCTCTCTCTCTCTCTCGCTCTTTGATTTTCTCTCTCATTTTATTTTTCTCTCTATCTCTCTTTATCTCTCTCTCCCCCTGTGTCTCTCTGATGTAACAAAATATAAACACACGCATTTCTCCTGTATGCACACAAGAAATGTAAACATTCAAAAAACAATACTTGTCTACGGTTTCACACACACACACACATATATATATATGTATAGCTGGCAACTCGTAGTCGAGGATATCCGCCACTAGGGCGGCTAGCCAATCCCTATTGCCGACGCTTGCTCAGGCGTATTTGTGTTTATTCAACAACCACCCGTAGTTTATACTGCAAATATGCTGAGTAGACCATAGTTACAGTTTCCGGGAAAGAGCTAGAACGCTCAAGCCCTCGGCCATTATGACTTGAGATTTCGTGCTAGCACAGTTATTGACGGTCCACAAGAGTTCCGTCTACCCAGTTTCACTCACAAGGCTTGGGTCAACCCGTAGCATGGTTTTCAGGCACTTTCTATTTATATATATATATATATATATATATATATATATATATATATATATATATATATGTATGTGTTATAACTTACAGACATACATGCTCTCACAAGGAACAACGTTCGCCTCTTTCGATTTTGAAAATTACAAAATCAGTTACACTGAATTCCTTTTTCTTTTTGCGAACAGATTAATCGATCAATCAAATCGTTCCCTTGTGGTACTAAAAATTCCTAAGCCTTGAGCCACTTAAAAGGCAATATGAACACAGGCCGACTACGAAAATTTCGGAAGATGCACCAGCTTTCAACAGGACTTCATTTCCAGCTGTCAGCAACATCAAAGGAACAGCTTCAATTGTCTATCCACTTCCACTGTCCAAGGTTACATCCCAACCCAACGAACTCTTCTCACATTCTGTGTATGTAATCCCCTCTCCTTCTCTCTTTCTCTCTTTCTTTATCTATCTATCTATCTATCTATCTATCTATCTATCTATCTATCTATCTATCTATCTCTGCGTATGTAATTTTTTTTCTCTTTTCGCGCACTTATATACCGACTTTTATTTTAACTCAGACATCTGAAATGAGTATTCGTTTCACACAAATATTTCTTTTTCCCTCGATTTTAATTTGTGCCAACTTAATTTCCTTCTGTATTTTATTTGTTTGAAAAATCCCACATATAAAATTATCGTTATTTTTTATTTTTTTTGCTGCTTATAGATGTATTGGTTGTATTGATTTATTTTAAAATGGTTAAGAGACCGACGATTCATTTAAAATGGCTTCTAAATAAATATTAACCGTTGACATGCCGCACAATATATACATATATATGGTTTAAATTTAAATGAGAATTCGACAGAATGATAAATGTATTATAAGAAAATTTGGGAAACTTTTATTTTGGAGAAAAAAATGAATTTTGTTTCAATCAAGTCTACATTGGCGAGACAGAACGTGATTCATGTTAATCAGATGAACGCTGGACATTTTTATTTATTTTACTTTAACTATCGTTTTTTAAATTAGTTTTTAATCATTTCAAACCAGTTTTTATTAATTCATATGTTTTTAAGATTTATCATAATAAAAAAAAAATCTTTAACACCAGTTTATTAAGAGCAGGTGACAGACTGAAGATGGCCACGGTCTTATATGAAGCCCAGTTGATCCGTAGATCATTGCACTTTCAATGCATCTTCATCTGAGTAAATTGTCGAAATACAACGGCATTTTACAGGTTAATGGACCCTGAACCTTCATTATACATAGCCAGCAACTCTCGTTTTCCGAGTAAAGCCGTTCATATATAAGAGTTCTAGCTACCCTCATCACCAGAAAGGCCTGGTTGGGCACCCGATTTAGTCGCCGATGACCCAGCCATGTGACAGGTTGTATATCGTATTTTATATAAAAAATCCGAACATCCGAATTCCAAATTATCATAAAATAAAAATTTAAAAAAAAACCTGAGTATGCCTGTTAATTAAATCATTTGTATTTACAAACATATGTACATGAATTCAAATGAGTCGAAAAGGAGCAAAAAGAGTCTTTAGTCAAGTTAAAATCATTTGAATAGTTGGTAGAAGAAAGCTGTTGTTTAGAAAAGACTTTTAAATAGTTGGTCCAGAGATAAAAATCTGTAGTTGGAAAAAGACATTTATCGTTTTTGGTGTTGTTGTTGTTACTGGAGATGATTCAGTTGAAGTCGCCGACACACGTCTCTTTCTAATGGTCTGGAGACAGTAGCATCTTTGCTCGGCTTCGAGACAACCACATATTCATGTCCTTTGATGGCCGAAGTCTAGGATTCTAAAAGAAAATTTTCCCAAAAGCAGGCTCGAGAAAAATAGTCTTTAGAAAAATAGGCTTTTACTTTTCTCTGATTGGTCAAATATTTAACATGATGATGTTAATTTCTAACCAATAGACACTTTAATTTAAAATGTTTGTATTGTGGAAACTTTTTGCCATGTTTGTAATAGTGGTTTAATATGGTTTGTATGCGGGTATGTAATTGTGTTGGAAATAGAGTTTCTTTCCTATGCATTCAGTCATTACCCCAAAAAGAACTGATTTGATTGACTCGTTTTTTACATCTTTGCAATCCTTTGTGGGTTTTTTAATAGCAGAATCATATTTGGAAATGTAAGAATATCTATCTATCTATCTTATAAATATATATATTACAAGTGAATATTGAATTAACAATTTCTTTTTAGTATAGCAATATTTTTCCAGATATAAGTTTTATTATTTAACTCATAGCTGAGGGGAAGGACATTGTTACGAGGATGCATTTCTATAATAAGGGATTCCACTGAGTTGTACTTGTTATTACAAAAAAGTTTTCATTCATGAAGTAGTTGTAAAATAGAGAAATTAGAAATAGAATGTTTGGAAGATTCTATATCATTCTAGTATATTCGAGAAAAATCTAAATGATTCGAGAAACATCTAGAAAATATGCAAATTAGGTGTTAGCCCCTATAAAAATGGGATTTTGGAAAAGGGTACTTAGTTGATGAAAAGGAATTTCTGCTGTTATTAACTCCGGCTTTTGATTCAAGGACTATTATATCCAGCCGAAAGAATCTCTATAAAAAGTTGCCGACCAACCAAAACCCAAAAGAGAATTTCATGGAACAAATTTGGTAAATAGAATTTTGACTAATTTTCATTGACCAAACTAAAAATTAATATTTATTTACACACCTTTTGTGGATTTCCAAATATAGCACTTAGATTACTTCACTAGCCCTAAAGTGATAAAGAAAGATATTTGACTCCCTTTCCTTCTCCCTCGTAACACTTCGCCAGTAACTCTGTTTTCTGTTTTGTGGGCCACAATTGTTTATCTTGTATATATTTTATGTTGTGTTTTAGTAAATTAAATATTTGTTTGTGATTTAGCTCTGTGTTGTGGTAAATCATTTTTTCCTTTGTTACAATTATCAACACGTAACAACATACCTTTCCAAAAGATATCGTGTTAGTGAATGCAACGACCTAAGAAAAGGGCAAAAAAGAAAGAAAAAGAATATGTAGTAATAACTTTCATGTGTTTACCGTCTGCTTTCATGAACCTTGACTGATTATTTGTCCTCTCTTACTTCGTTAAATGATGACTCATGATTGTAGTAACTACAATATTTTTTGTTAAAATTGTTAAGCTAAAATATTAAACGAGTCAATAGGAGAATTTCCACGGATTATTTATAAACATGGAACTCTTAAGAAGCTCTGTTCAATCATTAGATTAAGAATTAGGCTTCATCAGAAACTTCAAATGGGAAAGCCATGAAATTTTCACTGGTACTTCCAATAATTATTCTTTAGGTACGCAACGCATATCATGTCAGCGAAGTGAGTTTTAATTCTAAGGTAGCGTGTATGTTTACTTCACATTTGACAAGGCCTGAGATTCCATAAGTCTGTGCATTGCCCTTTGTCAAATTCTTTGGAAAACGTCTAGCTACTGATATGCCTGATAGCTGAAACAGAAAAAATGCTGTCTGATCAAGAATTCCTCCTGTATTATGTAAACTGATGTTTTGTTGTTGATTTTTTTTTTTATTAGACAGAGGAGATGAGCACTGCCAATTAACCTTCCTTGGCCTTGGGATGCCATCAAGAATCCAGGATTCTCTCCTACCAATTTTCTAATTCTAGGAACCAATTAAGACTTCAGCTCTCTAACAATTACGAGAAAATTAAATGCTACCATTCTGATTTGCTGGTAGTATATTTTTTTAGTACAAAATTAGATTTAAGTAAATGCAGGTTGATGATTTCCCAGCATCTTTAAAAATTCGAATGTTTTTTGTTTTCTTTTACTAATGTCCACGCAATACAAGGCCAAAGAGCCACTCAAGGTAGAGGGTTACTGTGTGATGTTGTATTAGTGTAAGAAAGCGAAAGAAGTGAAATTCTTGAGGCTATGCAGGAAAGATAATGGCTATCTCTAGACTTGAAGAGGTCAAGACTTAATTAATAAATAACATTTCAGACTTCAGTCGGAGACATTAGAAGTATAGAGTGGAAGTAAACTTTAGAAGAGACCGAAAACCCAATCCTACACAGAAAACCAGGAATAAACCTCTACTTCTGTTCAGAATACCGGGGGGGGGAGCGTGAACCGGACGATAGGTGAACATATCTACTCCTATTGGTAGATGAAAAAAATAATTAGTGAATAAAATTTCAGTCTTCATGCGGAGACGTTAGAAGTATAGAGTTGAAGTAGGCCTTAGAAGGAACTGGAAACCCAATCCTAAACAGGGAAAAAGGAATAAACCTCTACTCCTGTTCAAGAAACTGGGGAGGAGTATGAACTGGACGATAGTCGAACCAATCTACTCCTATTGAATGTGATACATTGTAGCAGAAAACAGTGTTGTTTGGAGAGGATCTATGAATGTTATTAGAATCATTTATGAAACGGTTTTACATTTCATCCTCATAGACTTAAAAGGAAATTGTAGGAGTCTGTGGAAGCTTGAAATGGTCACAAAGCTGACCTTCCCGACATTATGGAACCTATCCAATTGTAAACAGATGGAAAGCTGTGCTAAACAAACACTTATGTATTATTATGTAAAGACATAACATATTCATCAAGTACTTGAATATACGGAAGGGTGTCATTGAAAAGTTGACAGTCCTCTCTCTAAGTGAATACTCGCTGCTACTTCGTTGAATTGTACTAGTTTTTAATTTAAACACACATACAGAATGTGTAACCTGTGAGAATTTAATTCGAGCTGTCTAATCTTACATTCGTTTTCCGCTTGTAGAGACAGAAGTCTGCAGTTTTTGGGACGATGAAATAGCGGAAACATTCAGCGAATTTGTATAAAAGGTGTAGTGTTACAGAACTTAGTTATCTGCCCTTGATTTAGTTAAAATTTATGCATATTATAAGAAATCCTTCAAGAGACATTCTGAGCCGCGAAATGCAAGTCGCCTGGTCAGTTGGTGTCGATTTGTCAAAACGACCACACGTCTACTCCAGCCTTCCATTTATTCTCCATGTTCTATCACCAACGCAATGCGTGACCAAATACATTTAGTGTATTTATTTATTATTTTAGTCTTTACTCTTTCAGACATTGCAGAAATATCAGATCTATCATCTTCTCTTCTGGGATAGCCGGTCAAGCTACATTTGAAGCAGCAAGCAAAGATTTGCTGGTTGTTTTTCTTATATATATATATATATATATATATATATATATATATATATATATATATATGACTCAAAATTATAGTGGCGTGGAGCTTAACGTTTAAAATGAACAGCTGATTTATCCACGCTAAAATGATTAATGGATGATAATAATAACGACTAGGAAACACACAGGTAATTTTAACAAAGCAAGATAAGGAATTTATTTACGAATTTACACGCTTGAAGTAGTTTCAGTAGCTCGTTTCTGGAAAGCAAATCAGTAATTTTTAAAGTCCATGGTTTCAACGAATTGTTATGAAGAGGGAATGTTCATACAACGCATTAAATGATCTGACACAAAATAATATTCAAAAATGTTTAAAACAAAGGTAAGAGTTCGTTGTTCACACAAGGTATATATGGTTGCATGCCTTCCAAAATAGACAATATAAAACACTTAGCTTTTTTTAGTTTGTTGAAAGAAAGTTCTTTGAAGTAACTCCTGCTTGGTTAAGAGGCCGATAATATAATTGGCGGGTAATTTGACACTAACAGGAAATTGAACGCTGGGTACGTGAATAGAAACGAAACCTTTCACATGACTTCAGACATTCTTCTCTTATTAATTTAATTTTTTGTTCATTTTATATTTAAAAAAAAAAAAAGGATTTCACATGGGCCAGCTATTTTCTTTTCTTTCTTTTTCTTGGCTCAACGGCTAATTTCTGTGAAAACAAGGTTTTCATTGGTCCAAAAGCAATTTCAAATAAGCTTGCGAATTTATCTCCATTCTTTCTCACTTTGTCAGCCAATTTCTGTGAAAGCAAGGTTTTCATTGGTCAAAAGAAGATTCCACAAAGGCTCGCCAATTTCTTCTTGTCTTTTGAAGAGTGTGGACGTTATTATTTTGTATCAACTACAAAATAACCTGGAGATTCATATTCGCAGGTGGACTTGGTCATGAGAATCACCAACAGGCCCAATTTTTGTGAGATTAATTGAGCACTTTCATCTGTGGAATTCAAGTTTACATATCCCCCTGAAAGTTGCATAATTTGGTTGTTCATCACTAAGAAAACTAGAAAGAATTAATACAAAATCAGTAAACATAGACATTATTGTCCAAATAGCGATCTACTAAAGATTCGTCTTAATATTTTGCCTGCCATGTTGTCATTTGAGGAATCTAATGAATACTGTAGATTTTTCTTAAAACTTGGTAAATATTTCTTTTTTGTTTTTATTTATTTATTTTTTTTGTTATTTGCCTGCTGTACGACATAGTTTATCTAATTTTGTAATAAAAATGTCTGTTTTTTTTCTATCTCAAGCGTATGTTCCTTTTTCCAATGTCCTTTCTTAGTCATTGGCGCAGATACTGGGCTTATCTCCAAGAAGAGTTATTTTAATGATAAACTACAATGAACACCCTGTTGGTGTCCGCTGAACTTTATCTTATACAAGTTATTTATAAAAGTCAATACACTACATGACATTTCTTCTTCTTCTTCTTCTTCTTCTTCTTCTTCTTCTTCTTCTTCTTCTTCTTCTTCTTCTTCCTCCTCTCCCCTCTTCCTCCTCCTTCTTCTTCGTCTTCTTAATTTTATTTTTCAGATTGTTTTTATTTTCAGGTTAATCTTCTATCTGGGTTTTCTTTTTCATTCTCTTTTTTTCTTATTCTTCCGAATTCTTATTTCTTTCCTTTTTCATCTTCTTTTCAGTGTTTGCTTCTTTGTTTTTTTTTTTTTCGACAGATATCAGTAAGTCAGAATCATTCAGAATTTCTGATAACCCACTATGAAGGCCGAAATCCATCGGCTGAAATGTTATGATAAAAAGGACAAGAATGAAAATTCACGTCTGAACAAAATACAGAATAATTACAGGAATCCCATTCTGAAATCATATCGACAGAAGATGTATTTAATACATAGGATATGTAAAAATAACAGCAATAAAAACAAAAGCTTTGGGAAGGTGAATGAAGTTGGCTTTGGACGACAGAAATTTAAAGTTTAACGTTCCTACTCATATGCATAATTAAGCGACGGTTTCTGTTTAAATTTTCACCCCTCCCCTAATTCCATCAATAAGAACATTATTATGGCTTGAAGAAGTCCCTTTGAAAGATGGAACGCGTTAAATAATATTTTTCTCATTTTGTCATTCAATTACCCACCAGAATATGTATATAAAACTTTGGAACAAGCAATATTGAAATAGTATATGTTTTATATATAGTATATATGTTTTTTAGGTAACTTTATTATTTACTTGCGTGTATGGCACAAAGGTTAACTTGTACAGTTATTGGCGATTGGTCAATTGATATATTTTCAGTTTTTATTTAATACAACAAAAACAAAATTAAAATAGTCAACTTATAAAAGTATTTGTTATAAATGACTACAAAAATAAATAAATATTTTTAGTTTCTAACGAGTTGTTCCCAGTGATATAACTGAACGCATCTCTAAAGAAAATGTTCGAAGCCAGGCAACAATCCAGAATTTAAAATTTTATACCAACCATTTCTTAAACCATTGGTATGAGATTTCTGCCTTCCGACCAGATATCAGTACATTTGTGTCCTTGTAAAACAGTTCATCTTCTTCTTTTAGTTTAAATTTAACTTCCGTCATATTCGATTGGTTGATCAAATGAGTAAAGCCTACAAACCTTATTACCACTCCCCTTTTTCTTTTGTTCGTAAAAAGAATTTATATTTTGCTTTTAAATCTAAATAAATCGTTCACTCGCCAGTAATTTATAATCACCTGAGGAAATGCATTGATACGCATCGAAACACGACTGCAAAACAGTTCATTACCTTATAAGAATCTATTCGAACTAGTAAATCCATCTTCGTTGTTATTGTCACAACGTTTCGACAGTTCTACTCACCGAATTTCTTCAGATGTTTCGGTACGACAGACACCTGAATAAAACCGGAAGGTGAAACGTACGAAACGTTATGACAAGATGAGGGTCACGTTTTCGCTGTACTCATTCCCAGAGTCGGTCTTTTCATCTGACACCGTTAATATTTTGGAACTGGTTGCCATCCAAGGCTATAGGTTCCAGTCTGGCCGACTATTTACTCATAGCTGGTGGAGAAAAAAGAGAGTATTAGCACGTAAGTGAATGTAATGAACTCGACTGGAATTCGAAATTCGGTTATGGATAACGACTCGGATATATATTCCTTTGTAACTAGAGATGTGACCTGATGAACCAGGAAAATATATTTACTGGGGAAATAAATTATAGTCATGGAACCTTAAGGTTGTCTCTTTTCTAATTATTTAATTAATATTTGCTCTGGTGTTACATTGAGCTCTCTGGATTACATCATCTTTGGAATTATCCACACGGATTACCAAATCCTTCATTAACTTATAATATATATATATATATATATATATATATATATATATATATATATATATATATATATTGTATAGAGAAATCTTTATACAATAACGTAGAAGTTAACATACTTAAATCTCCTAAAAAATGACCTCATTCTATAAATAGCGAAAATTTCAATTTAAATGATTTTCCGACTTATTAGATATCAAGATTATTTCGCCTTCATTGATCTATATTATAAAATAATTGTTGATTCTATGTCCGTCACACACTGTCTGTGTGCGACTTTGTATGTACGTGTTGTGATGTAAATGCTTGTCTGCTTTGTGCGTGGGTGACTTACATGTGCTTGTGCCATTTGGTCCACACTCGCTCACAAACATACATATACATATACAATTTGACTTACTTTGAAATAAGACATTGAAATAATACATTCTCCTCCCTCTCAGTCTGGACAACCACTTCCCTGGAATGCCCAATAAAATCAATAAGTTCGAGACAAGAAAAAAAGAACAAGTTTTTTACCCCCCCCCAAAAAAAAAAACAGCTATGATTTCATTGAACGATTTGGAAATTATGCGGCAATAGATAGAATTTTTTTTTTTAAATTTTGAGGAAATATTTTTAGGTTTCTCGTTGAATTAAAATATAGATGCGAACGCAAACTTGCATTCACCTGCAATTTGAATGATTTTGAAATGGGAATCTGTATCACGAGGGCTTATTTTCCCTTTCAGTCGGGTAACAACCCTGAATATCAGGAAAGGGTTATGCCGGAATGTGCGGCCCTTTGAAGACATTTTTATGATTCCTGTATTTTAAACTGAATATATTTTCTAATAAATGTACTATTTTAAGTGTACAAACAATTTGACTATCTTGCCATCAGTAAAACGACACGTACCGAACGAGGAATAATTATAGACTAAAATTTAAATTATCAACTGGATCACTTTTCAGTTCTGTATAAAAGCATGTCTTCTCTTCTCGAAACTGCTCCTTTCCAAAATATCTTGCCTAAATAATCAACATATTTCCAATACATAATGATAATGCTTTATTAATATATCACCAAAGAACAATAATACATTATCTCATAAGCTAAACAATATTGAACATACGAATGAATTTCCTCATGAAACTTATGCAAGAAATACATTAACCTTTCTTTATATCCTGATTCGTTAACGATCTAACACGTTAATCGAAAATTTATTAACATAAGAAGGAGAAGAAGAAGAAGAAGATTAACATATCCATCATTACCGGTGCGTTTGAAACAGTCCTGAAGAAAATTAAAGGAACTGAAACTCAAGGTATAATTTAAACAATCCCCAAGAGCCACTCAAGTTAGAGGGTTACTGAATAAGTTTTATAGACGTAAAAGAAAGAGATAAGAAGTACTGGTTATGAGGTTATGTAGGTTCGATGACTCCAAATTTGAAGAGGTTAGGATTGTAGTGATCGGGGAAGCATCATCTCAGGAATCTGCACAAAGCAGCTGTCTGAATAGAATTTTCTTGTTACCAATGGAGTACGAAGGTAATAAGAATGATTCGACCCTCTCTATGTAGCATGGTGAGTCTTAGCAGTAAAGGTCTGAACTTGTGGAACTAAGAAATGAAACTCGTTAGAACATTTACCGTGGAAATAGCGATTAAGTAATGCTTGCGACATTTCGTCGGTGTGGAAGGGGTTCTCGGTTAGGAAAAAGTCAATCGCTTACAAGGAAGCGTAAACAATAAAGGAGCAACTTCAACTCAGATATGGCAGCAATACGCCATTTTTGGTCTGATCTGATTCTTGTAAAGATAGAGCATGGCATCGCGAGGCCTCACCGAAAACTACTGCACAGTCCAGATTCCATTCACAGAATAGCAATACAGTAACTGCGATATTTTACACCTGCTGATAAGTTAGTCTCCATAGGAGTTACTTTAAAGTTCAAATCTTTGACTATCAGGCGAATAATGCCAACCTGGAATACGTTTACCTTGAGCATGAAGAGAAAGAATCCAGGAAAGAACAACATATGGGCATTTTACTCGGTTGGAATGTGAACACATGTCGTCTACTCAGAAACTCAAGGCAGCAGAAATTCTCCTCGAGTCAGAATCATCATGTCTAAGCAAGATGCTAGGCATCAAGGCATGCTGGCTCGCATGCGAGGTCTAAAAGACCCGCTAGGAGAAGTACGGTTTACGAAGGCTTCTCGAGTTATGAGCTGTGCAATATTCATCTACGGAAGAGTGCGTTGGCGTATTAAGGGAAATTGTTGTCACTTGATCTTGAAGGTCGTTACTTACTATTGTCTTGAAAATTCAATCAGTGCATTTTAAGTGAATTTGCCTGTGCTTGAGTGCGTGTGACGTCACGGAAATATGTGACCTATCCGTCTACTGAATCGTAAATAATCGTGAACACTTCAATCGCGCTGAACTGTAAAGCGTAGAGAACAGACGAAACTTCTTAGAAGTGCATGTAGGAAAATGCAAAGAGAAAGTTCAAGAATATGTTGTGGATGCATTCAACCATATTTCCATATATTGATAAATTCATGTGATGCCAGTAATATGGAAAAACCCAGAGAGAAACCCTTGAAAACATAATACAGTATAGTAGACCTTCAGATTTATTTTAATACCACATCTCCTCAGGGCATAGGCGATCGTTACCCCCACCTCTCTCTCTCTCTCTCGTTTTGTGATACATTCTTGGAAAAAGTTGGGGGGGGGTATTTTCTGTTTCGTTCTCCACGGATTAGATTTCAGATTTTTTTTCTTCTTTTTTTGTTGCCATGTCTACCCTACTATTTGACCAATATCTAAAGTGAAAGATTAGATGGATTCATGCCTTCCCCAAGGTCATTAATACGAACGTGAACGCAACAGACTAAACCTGAATTTGAACTCGGATCGCCGATGACACTTTCCTGAACGATATCCTTTACACTACCTTCACAGCAACCTTAAGGGTTATTTTTTTAAGAAAGTAAATTACTTGTTTCAATTTTTGTTCTTGAAAAGAAAATCAAAAAACAACTACAACATAAAATACAGTGTGCTCCGAAAGTCTTGTCACCCAATACCAAAAAAAAGTAATGAGAACAATAGAAGAACAAGTAATACAAAGCACGTGTAATGGATTCAGTTTATTCACTTTCATTGATGCTGTCACACATCGAGAAGATCTGTATGAACACAGATCATTTTCGTGTCAGCCATCTGAAATAGAAAATTAGATTATGTAGGGGTGACAATACTTTCGGACCAACCTATAGATTTTTTAATAAAGAAATTTACTATTTCAATTATTTAGGTTGTTGGTTGTTTGGGTGATTTTCTTTATTGTAATCGGATGTGTTGCTATGAAAAGTTTGTGTATTTCCATGATGTCACACATATTTCTGAACGGACCACATGACTTGACTTGTATAACGATTTCTAACTTCACATCGAAGGAACACCACATATTTTTCAGTTTTCCTATCTTAAACGTTGCGATGTGATATGATGATGGATATCGGTTCGGAGCTGATTCCACTCGAGTTCATTAGATTCACCTACGCACAAATAGCCTTGGAGAAGGTATGAATCCATCTCTTCTCCTCCCATCTATGGGTTGAATATCAGGACAGACTGGGTTCTTTAACCTTGGCAACCAGTCTACCACAGAAAGAAATGGCAACCTACTGCGGAGAAAAATGTGCTTCGTCAGTCATGTATCGAAAGATAGATGATCGCCCAATTGTGTATCACGTATGGCACATAACTGACTGATATTAAGCGACAATTTCGATTACATCATCTGAATAATCCGACAAAATGGATTCAAAGGAATCCTCTCGGTCCTTCATGTTATTAATTGGTTTTATAGGATTCATTCAGAGTCAAATTAAACTAAAGTATATTTTGTGCATAATAGAACTTGAGTATAATACAACCCTGTGTTTCTTAAGAGTAAGATTCGATAAGGTCAAATTGGCAGCTGATGACAAAAGTGACCTAAAATCTGCTGTTAACGGGGACAAGGAATAGCTTGTTAATTTTAACGGCTCGAAAACAAAACTGTTCTATTAATATTCTGAAAGACCCCTTTCTGCTTTCCATCAACATGGCTGATGCTAACTGCCAAGAAAATGACTCGTTATGCATTTTCGGGTTAACGTTCTCTGCTAAAATGAAGTGGAAAGATTATATTGCTAGGTTGGTTGCTGAAAGTTCACTGTGTCATGCTAGACAATTTTTCTCCCCAGAATCTATCTTACATATTTATTAGTCTACAATTCGTCCATGCTTTGGATATTGCTGCCATATGTGGTCTGGTGTTTCTGCTATATATTTAAAGATTCTTGATAAAATCCAAAGAAGAATCTGCGCATTCCAGCTTCAGTCACTTCCCATCGCCGTAACATAGCTTCCCTGTGACTTTTCTATAAATATTTTCATGGTAATTGCTCTGATGAACTTTTCTTTATGGTACCTAGACTTTATGAATTTAAGCACAGTACTAAATTGGCTGCAAGGTCTCATCATTTTAATTGAAATAGCTAGAACCGTAAGCTGTTAACTAACAGTTTATTTTCTCGCCTGTGAAACTTTCTTCCTACATCATGCGCTCCAGCCAACTTTGATGTTCAAATATTTTTAAATGCAATAGTTATCTTCTGTTTTCTTGATTTCTCTTTTGTCATTGTTCTCGCACCTTAATAATAATGTTTTTCTTTTTCTTATACTTTTACACTCAGTAATCTCTTGTGTCTTAGTGGCTTTATTGCTTAGCTTGGGGTGAAATGATTAAAAACAAATTGAAATTACACCCTTGAGTATAATACGACACCGTAATGTAATTTTTTTTAAAAATTGTACCTATTATCCATTAAAAACCGTGTGGTATTTCACTGACTAAAATACCTAATTTTTCACGATATTAACGATTCTAACAAGATAGTTAAGAAGTAGATTTACCTGAGAAGATGAATAATTAAAGATACAGTCCTCCCCTCCCCGATATGTAAACAATAACATCCTTAGATCGTACAATGATGATTTTGCAAGGCACCTTGAGACTATATGTGAAGAAGCCCTCGAATTTGCTATTAAGCACTCCGACACTATGTTCAATAAAATTGTTCTAAAAAACAACAACTGAACAAGAATTGAATTTTTAAAAAGAAGCTGTAATGGAGACGTTTCTAACATGTCTAAAATAAAATTACTTTCAGTGTCTGTAGTTTTTCAACTGGCGACAGACGCGTTGATAAGTTTAAAATGCCTGGGTCATCTGTCGGTAGCTAACAACGTCCATCTGTTGCTACTACTACTCTGGCTGCTAACAGCTGACTCTTAGGGCATTGGGTGACTACTGTTCCATTCATCAGCAGACATCTTCTGTCTCTTTTCATTAAAATCTGTCATCGTTGTCCAGCAACTGCTATTTTTCCAACATTTTCAACTAGAAACCTAAGATGTCATAGCGAACTACTGACATTGTTTTTCTTTCTTTCTTTCTTTCTTTCTTTCTTTCTTTCTTTCTTTCTTTCTTTCTTTCTTTCTTTCTTAACAAATTGACTTCCTTTCACCCGATTCTATTTTCTGCCATCATCATCATCATCCTTTAATTATTCCTCTCTCCCATCTTTTTGTACAATTATTGCTGAAGTCCGGGGGTGGGGGTTGTAGGTTCACGGGTCATCCAGTCATTGTGCTACTTAACTTATCATCACATTTGCTATTTTCGTACAATTCTGCTTTATTTGTTATTCTGTCGCTCATTTAAGTATGGTAGGATTTTTTTTTTTTAGGTCCGATTGTGTATTTGGGCGGTAGACAGGGGAGCATTCATTTTCTTATTGACCAAACCAGCCAAGGTGGTCAGGCCTGACTCACACAGTCACTTGTTTATTTATTTTTACTCCCTTCAAAATCAAAGTAAACACGAAAGGCACATTTTCCCCGTGGCATCGAATATGACACTTTCGACTTTAAAAATTTTTTTTCTTGGGGATGCACGATGTTTTTTTTTTAATTTTATTTTTAAGAAACATTAACAATCATTTTGACTAGCCGATCTGCGCTGTCTCCTACAACAATTCGACCTTCCCTAGTTTTATTCTTCAGGTGGCTTTATTGAAGAAAATGATAAGTTACCATCTATCTAACTAAACCGGTGGCGGACCTATATTTTTGAGGGCCCTGAAACTTGGACAGATATGGGCTCCACCTCGCAACCAGCAACAATAGATTTGAGAATCCAACTACCAAAATGTAGGCTATGAAGAGATTCTGGCAAGAAATTCAACGAGCCATGCAGCTGGGGGTTTGGCCACTGCAAACCCCAAGAAAATTTTGAAATTTGACCAATTACAGGGGAATTTTAAGAGCATATGCTCCATTTTGGGTATTAGGGCATATTCTAAAAAACCAATATTATCTACTTCAACCCATTGGTTTATGGTTCTGTCACTAGAATGGCCTTATTTAAATTAAATAATAAGCAATAATTCATCGATTTTGTTGAAAATTTCACTCATTTAAAATTAAAATTAAAAAGATGCTTCAGGTGGTATCTCTGGTATTAGGGGAACTGAAGTTAAAAGCTTCATTAGTTTCAAAGAACTGAAACAACCAGTTGTACAGAAATATTTTGTTTTTCAAGAACAAGTCACAGAGAATTCTTAATATCTAAAAGAGATGATTCTCTGTGTGTCATGCACGGCCTCCGCGTGTATATGCGTATATAATGTCTATGTGTATGCCTAGTTGTACGTGAGTGACTTGCATGTGCATTTAATGTACGCATAAGCACTCGCACATGCACACATACATGCAATCTTTCTAAGTCTGGAATAAGAAACTTGAATAACACTAACAGGTTTTCTTCCTACTCAGTCTGGAATCTTCAGAAATTATTGGATAATAAATAAAAGTATTTTTATTTATTTATGTTCTTTACATTTTTGCAAAAATATTTTTAGGTGTGTCATTGAATTAAAATGAACATGCGCACGCGCACGCGCAAACGTGCATGCGCACACAATTTAATTAAAATTGGCTAGATGTAACCGTAAGTTCTTTGCTAACAGTTTCTTCTCTCACACTTCTCACATGTGGAATTCTTTTTCAGCTTCTTGCTTTCCAGACAACTTTATCTTCAAAAATGCAATGTCAATCGTTATTTTCTGTCGTTTTAATTTCTTATTTTTTTATTGTTCTCACTCCTTAATATTTTTTTTTCTCGTGTTTATTCACACTCAGTAATCCATTGCGTCCTAGTGGCTTTATTTGCTTTGCGTGCGGTGAAATGATTTTTTTAAATCTAGGAATTTAAACTGATTATATTTTGTAATATATGCATTTTTTAAACAGATAAAGATTTGAAATTTGATCATTTTGCCGTCTACAGAATGAGAGGTATCGAAGTAGTATTTCTATATAAAATAAATGGAGCTCGGTAAAAATGGCAGGGTAAAAATGGCAAAAGTGGATAAATAGGAAAAAATGGCAAAAGTGTATAAATAGGAAAAAAATGGCAATTCGAAAACAGGAAATTATGACCGTTCGAGAAGGATGGGTCTAAGCTCCCATCCTTCTAGTTTAAAATAGGGCTAAGTCCCCCCACCCCACTCAATATTTTAAAATAAATATTTTTAAATAGATATTTACTCTAGTGGGGGGGGGAGATAGGTTCCTTCTCCTCTTGTTTTAAATAGGGGCTAAGTTCCCGCTCTTAGTATTAAAAATATTTTTTTAAATTTTCGATGTCGATTTTTAGAAGTTTTATTGGGTGGGAACGCTAGGTTCCTACTCCTAATTGCAGTAAAAGGACAAATCGTAGTGTATTTAAGTGAATTTGATGACTATAATTAATTTTATAAGTGATAGTTGACATTAGGATTAGATGTGTATATATATATATTAGTTGACATTAGGATTAGATGTGTGTATATATATATTAGTTGACATTAGGATTAGATGTGTATACATAAGTATGTATATGTGTCGGCATACATCGATGTTTGCGTTAGTACGATGACAAAACGACAAAGTTTCCCCCACCACTTCCACAATAACACCAATACACGCAATCTACATGAACCCAAATTTTAAAAAAAATTAATCAGTTTGTCTGACGATCGCTAAAGCGTGAAACCCAGGGTCACAAACTCACATCTATCCAAACAAATATATATATATATATATATATATATATATATATATATATATATATATATAAATATAGTATATATATATATATATATATATATATATATATATAAAATAAGTGTATTAGTGTATATATATAAAATAAGTGTATTAGTGTGTATATATATATATAAAATAAGTGTATTAGTGTATATATATATATATATGAAATAAGTGTATTAGTGTATATATATATATTTGTGTATTAGTATATATATATATATATATATATATATGTGTGTGTGTGTGTGTGTGTGTGTGTATATATATATATATATATGTGTGTGTGTGTGTGTGTGTGTGTGTGTGTGTGAAAAGTGTATATAAATATAAATAAATATATATATGTATAATTATGTATATATTGTATGCGCGGTACTTATTAGAAAGCGCTCAATATCAGAGATAGAGCTAAAATAATTATACATATATATATTTATTTATATTTATATACACTTTTCACATAACAAACTCACATCTATCAACCAAATATATATATATATATATATATATATATATATATATATATATATATATATATATATATATATATATATATTAGTGTTGGGACGATTAATCGGAATCGGGGAATCGGAAATTAGGAATCCCATTCAAATAAAACCTTTTTTTTTTTAATTGGAATGTTTTTTCTTACAAATAATCAAATAAAACTTTTTATAATATGGATGTTTTCTTTGAAAATATTTTTTAAATAGTTTATTTATTATTTTTTATAATTGGAATGTTTTCTTTTTGTGTGAAAATACTTTTTAAATAGTTTATACTGAAAACATTTTTAAATACTTTATTCTATTTTTAAATAGTTTGATAGTTTTTTTATAAATAGAAATGTAACAAAATTTAAATCTATTAAACGTCATAGTAATAATGTATCCAATATATTGTTTTGTTATTCGACTGCATTACTGGTTCCCACGTGTTCAAACTAGTGAAATTTAAAAAAAAAAACAACTCTAAGTGTACAAAATTGACGAGGAACTCTTTTTCCGATAAACACCGCTTAATGTCGGTTTCTGATTTCAATATCGGAAGCCGTCATCAAGTGGACCTATAATTGTTTTTTCCCAAAGTTTTTCAGTGTGTTCAGACGTAATCGCCTAAAAAGTAAAATGTCATGGGAGGGGGGAGCTTTAACTGAATATTCTTTTTAATTTGACAAACTTCTCATGTTTTTCCATTATGTATTGTATCCAAGATTTTAATAATATTCATCTATATTTTTTTTCCTTTTGCCATTTTTTCTTATTTATCCATTTTTGCCATTTTTACCCTGCCATTTTTTCCGTTGCCATTTTTACCCTGCCATTTTTTCCGTTGCCATTTTTACCTAAATTCAAAATAAATAGAAGCCAGTGGTGTGGTACATCGTTCTACGAGTTGCAAAATCAAATTTGAGGGGCATCCAGTGTAGAATATTCAAGCCGATAGTCAGTTAAGTTAGCTTGATAACAATTATTTATTCCACGACGAGACACCCAACATATAGTTAAGTTCTATATATATAAAAAAAAAAAAACAAAAAAAAACATGGTTGATTATTTTCCTTTGATTTACGAGACGTATGTTTTTGTTTTCTCTGATGTTTTTCCAATATGGATATGAGATCAGGAAAAATAAATTCCGTTAGATGACAGATGGACTTCAACTGCTTCGCATCTTAAAACAGCAATGGTCGCTGTCACCTCTCACCGAACAAATATATGGATAAAGCGGAGACGCGTTAATTCTCTCACCCCCTCACCCAATCACATTAGGTCGGAGATTATAAAGTTAGTGAGTCAACCTGCGACGCAGGAGGTAAATCATTGAGTTGAACTTTCGATCATAAAAAAACAAAGAACAAAAAACAAAACAAAAAACAAACAAACAAATGATCAGGCATTAGACAAACAAATTCTCGTCAGTTCATGAACGATTATTTCTCGAAAGAGTGTTTTGTTACTTTTTACGGGCATGTTTTTTTTATCATTTCATCCCAAGCAAGGCAATAAAGTCACTAAGACACAAGGGGTTGCTGAGGTTGAAAGAATAAGAAAAACATTACTAACGATAGAGAAAAATAAAAAAGGGGAGGTGCTACTATAGCGCGAAGTCTACCTCCCGTTTCGTCTATAGCATGAGGTCTACCTCGATATAGCATGCGCGAGGTCTACCTCCCGTTTCGTCTATAGCGTGAGGTCTACCTCGATACAGCGCGCGTGAGATCTACCTCCCGTTTCGTCTATAGCGTGAGGTCTACCTCGATATAGCATGCGTGAGGTCTACCTCATGTTTCGTCTATAGCGTGAGGTCTATCTTGATATAGCGTGCGTGAGATCTACCCCCCGTTTCGTCTATAGCGTGAG